TGTCGCTAGTGCGCTGCGAAGTAGGACTCGGGGAGCTGTTCCCGGCTATGCATGAGCTGTAGATGCGATATCTCCTCGGAGCATGTGTCCTGAGACGCCACCCCACAAAGAAGCACAATGAGATGCCACAAGAACAAGTCCATGGCACAAGCCTGGGGAAGCTAGGCTAGGACACGCGCTTGTTCAGAAATGTTCCACTGCTTCAAACCAATGACTCGATCCTTACCATGATTACTATACCTTAAGCCACTAGGCCACGGCATAGGCCCGTAAGGCTCCCGATCCCGTTCTCGCTGTGTGCATGGGCGAGGACCTTCACCTTCTGATTCACCACAAGCATTTGATTGATTCTTGATTACTCATGCTTACTCTTGGTTGCAAGTGTAAGTGTTTCCTGTTTGGTTGCTACTGTTGATGGACAAAAAATCTGCATGACCCAAATATAGTATAGTACCATAAATCCCATAGTTTAGGTCATGCAGGATTTTGTCCATCAACCGTATGAGTACTATCGACATACTGAGGACGTATCCTGGAGCCACGAGCCCGAAGACACGGAGTCTCGCAAAGTTTGCCGCGTCGAGGCTTCCGCCACGAGGAGACAGCACGAAGAATCGAGATGCGATGCGAGGACTCAGAGGACTCATGGCCAAACATGAGGCTCGAAGACGATGGTGAGACAGCACGGCGGGAGGCACCAAGGCATGAAAGACACGAGATGCGACGATGAGGCACAAAAACGGGACAGGTAGCTGGCATTGCATTTTCTCAAAGAACAGCCGCGTCGGAGGAAGGTGCGCGTACTCAATCCCGTGCCTGCTGAAACGTTCCGAAACGAGGCGATGAGCCAAGGGCCTGAAAGCGATGACAATCACAGACAATGCGACCCCGAGACGAACCCAGGATCCCAAAACGAGGGTAACCTCGACCCGCCACATCCCCCGGCTACGACCTGCAACGTGAACCCTTCTGCTGCAGAGCTGGGAACACGCAAGAATGAAATACACTCCTTATCTCCTCTCTTCCTCTCTTGCTGATCACACCGGGTGCCTGCGTCACCGAGGGCTTTCCGTAGTGGCGCACCTCATGCAACATGCACAATGCCCTGAAAGGCTAGAGACACCTTTTCAAGCCGAGCTGGGCTGAGATGTGGTTCCTTCGCTCATTCCTGATACCTCGTATAGGGAAGTGTCCATGGAAAGTGGGGCGTTTTGGAGCTCTCCTCGTGGGCTGCAGAGACAACAGCACGGAGACTTCGAATGGGCTGCCGGGCTTCGCTGGGTAGCCGCGTTCCCTCGGCCTGTGGAGACACGAAAGAAAGAGAACTCAGAAGAGAAACATGTTTCATTTTTGAAACACCTGAAATACTTGTACATACCCCATCATGTCGCATGTAGTACTCAAATGGTCGTCACCCAGCCATGTCACAGAATGATGTAATCACGGACCCCACACCAGGTCGCCCCGCATCCTGCCCCCCCATTCCGTTTCCAGGCCGTCTGAACCCGTTAATCGCGGCTAAGCGGCCACCTGCCCCAGTTGTCCCGGCAGAAGACGTCTGTGATGGAGCTAAAGGCAGGCGGACCTCCAGAAGGCTTTGGGCTCAACGAGATTTGGTACATGGGTAGTTTTCGAAATTAGGGTCCCTTTTAGGGTCCTTTTTATAAGGGTGCCGAATTATATTGGGGACCTAAACGGGAACTCTAATTTACAGAATTACCCACATACAGATACGCAGATACCATGGGGTTTAGGGTTTAGGGGTTCAACTTCCATGGGGTTTACTGGGACAAAGGACGATATCAAGAACAACCTGCAGCTTCCGCAGGCTTTCATCGGGAGCTCGTTTTTTTTAGCGGTCGCGCGGGAATACCTTACATCGCTGCCTTGCAGGGGTGCACCATGGAGATCATATAATGTAGGGGCCTGAATAACTGGAATAGGGTTTTGGGCGTATATATATATATATATATTTATTTATATTTATATTTATTTATTTATTTATTCATTTATTTATTTATTTATTTATATATCTATTATTATTATCAGGAGCCCCCCAAATAGTGTAGGTAAATATTAAGGCCCCTATATACCTTCAACTACCAAACCCTACTTTTTCTGAGGTTCTTATATTGCCAACCCTAATATGGAGTTTATGGGGACCCTACAAAACCAGTAGGTTTTGGTAGGTTAAGGATACTTTTGTGCATGATCACTACAGTGACAGGAGATCCCAGGAGGCCGCCGTCCAGGGCACCTCGTCTGAGCTGCAATCGATCCCCAAAGGCCCTCCAACCCCAAAGCCCCTAACCTAACATGGGGGCCTAAAGAATTCTCTATACTAGGCCTAAAGACTTACCTATACAATTTTTTTGGGGGGGGCTCCTTATTATAGTTTTTTGTAGATTCTACTCCGAAAGCCCTATTCTAAGTCTTAAGGCCCCTATATTAGGAGAAGCCCCCCATCCGTCAAGCCCAAGCCGTGAATGCTGAACTTACCCAGGCCGCCAGAGCTTAGAGGGGAGGGTGTCTGCAGCTGTAGAGGGGTCCAGGTTCAATTTAGGATTGAGGGCTTTGAGTTTTGGGCCTAGGGATTCATGACCTTTAAGTCTTCGGTACTATAAGGAGCCTCAACCACCTTAGGATTGAGGGTTTTAAGTTTTGGGTCTAGGGAAGGAGCTTCAACCACCCTAAAATACCCCTAAACCCTAAACCCTAAACCCAAAACCCCTAAACCCTAAACCAGATATCGATATGGCACCTTGTCGTCCGTGGTGGGTGGCAGAGATGAGGCAGGAGTCGATAATGGGATTGGAATGGAGGAAGGCTCCAAAGTCTGCGTCCGTGCCAGCGGACGGAAAACCTGGCGAGAGACTTCCTCTGGCTACGGCTTCTTAAGTCCTGCCTAGCCGTTGGAACATGTACTAAACCCTAAACCCTAAACCCCGAAACCCTAAACCCCTAAACCCCTAAACCTTTAAACCCCTAAACCCAAAGCCCTAAACTCCTGAACCCTAAACCCAGTGCAGGTTCTAGAGTTGCTTAAAGCTTCAGCAGTGGAGCTTCCTGGGCTCTCGGGCAAAGGATCTTGGGCTTTCATCTGCTGTTGAAGGCTGACTTTTGCGTCTTAATCTAGATAATTGCAGCCGCCCAAATCGCATACCAGGCATACCATATCGGTATACATGTTAGGCTGGCGGGCTTTGGATCAAGCCGGGACAAAGTTGGGGTGATCTTCACGCGGTTGCCTAAGGCAAGCCTTACAAAGTCGTATTACCCTGAACCCTAAAGTACCACTCCCCAGGCTCTGAACCCTAAGCCCTCAAAATACTAGATGATGACACCAAAACCCATTCTGAGTGCCTCTAAGCCCTAGACCCTAAACCCCAAAACCCCAAAACCCTAGACTCCGAACCCTAAGCCCAAAGTCCTAGATAGAGACACAAAAGCGTCAATCCCCAGACACGGAGCCCACAGCCCGAAATGCGCGATGGAAGTACTTGAGTTTAGCATCAATGCCGTTGCCATGTAGCCTAAGAGCCCTAAACCCTAAACCCTTTGCCATGTAGCCTAAGAAACCCTAAATCCTATACCCATAAACCCTAAACCCTAAACCCCTAAACCCTAAACCCGAGACCCTAAACCCTAAGGGTCAGATACAACCTTACGGCTGAAACCCTGCAACCCACAGAACACCCTGAGCTCACATCCCCTGCAGCTTGCTTTGGGGTTACTACAGGGGGGCCTTAAAAGAATGAGAAGAGGGCTTTTGGGGCACCTTGACAGGGTTCCTAACAAAGTTCTTCAAGGGCTACTACAAGGGTTTAGGGTATAGGGGCCTTAATAATTAGAAGAGGGTTTTGGGTGTATGCTATAGTTATGATAAGGAACCCCCCCCAAATATAGGTATTTATTAAGGCCACTACATTACCTAAACCCTAAACCCTAAACCCTAAACCCTAAACCCTAAACCCTAAACCCTAAACCCCAAACCCTGGCTTCCTCAGCTCAGGGGTTGCTCCACATCCGTCACCCAAAAATCCCAAAGTGCTATGTACCCAGGACCCGAAAATCCAAACCACAAAGCCACCCTTAAGCTCTAAACCCCAAGGCCCAAACCCTAGGCATTATCGTTCATTATTGTCATCACCAGTATTGGTCTTGTAATTCCATTAGTAAGTACTACAATTACTTCTAGAAATTCCCATTATTGTTTATTATTGTCGGTACTATCATTGGTATTGTTGTTCTAAAAGTCAGAACTACAATTATTTCCATAAATTCCTAAACCCGTAAACCCTAAACCCTAAACCCCTAAACCTGACTATTATTGGTCTAGCTATTCTATTATAGAAACCCTAAACCCCTAAACCCTGAACCCTCTTTTCGTTTCGGCCTTTGAAAATGTCATTACTGTTCTTGGTATTGTTATTCTATTCCTAAACCCTAAACCCAAAGCCCTAAAGTATTGTTATTCTATGATAGAACCCTAAACCCTAAACCCTAACCTCTATACGGCTCCCGCCTTGCTGCAGTCGATCCTGGCCTTCTTGGGCTCGTTGGACGGGCCAGGCAGCTTCCTCGAAGCCCAGCGATCCATGTATCGACAGAGACTTTGATATAGACACCCATATATATATATATATATGTGTGTGTGTGTGTGTATAAATACTATGTCTATATATATATATACATAAGCATACATATATATATATATATAG